GAAACTTTAGACACACTATTAGGAATGCACGATATATCGGCCAGCATATCGGTATCGGCCGATACATGTTCATTTTTAATGTTATCGTTATCGGCCTGGTAAGAAAATGTGGCCGATATATTAAAGCCGATAATTAATGTATTGTTCCCTTCAGCTGAGACACTTGTTGAGCACTATTTGTGTTTTTTAATTTCTTGAAATATGATTGAAATCTCTTCAAAAAAATGAAAATACGGTTCGCAAATCTGTTATATCGGCTACATAACACTATAATGAGAACATCATTATAATCGTGCGCTTGGGACATGGGTTTAATTGTGAGTCTTTTGTTTTTGCAATCAGACTCTCAAAATTACATATCGGCCGATATATCGGTCATCGACTTTCAAATATAAAGAAGTATCGGTTATCGGTATCGGCCAAAATTTTCATATCGGTGCATCCCTACACACTATCTTACCTGTAAAAAGGAGCATATGTTCCTTTTAAATGCTAAATCTCTTTAAAAATTATTATAAAAGTGATTATAGTTGTGGTGTGAAGTCTGCTATTCTTTTACATTTAGAACGATTTTAACTCTGTTTTAAATAAGTTAAAATGCACCAAGTTTTCTCAGTTTGGGTCTCTGATTATATTTGAGTGTGAGCTCCATATTCTCACTATACCATACATACAAGACTGATGTATAAAATGATAAAACAAAAAACATATAGGCTATGCAAACCTTAGATTTTTAAAAACAGTTCTATAAAGTCTCCCATTTAATTTTTTTTGTCTAATAAAAAGTCTTGTGTACATTGATAAACACTTTGTGCATGCATGTTCTCAGTGTTAATTTTAATAACATCATATTTATCAGCCAGATTGGTATTGGATTATCACAATATTAAAATATTTGTTATCTCTATATTATCTGCAAGTTAACTAACTTGCATTCGAAAAGCATGTCTTAAGTGAATGTGGTGGCGCTTTGGACAGAATTCAGCTGCAAAAGCATGTAATGGATGGAGATATGCATGCTTTCATTTCCTCAGTCCATCAAAACAACACTGGACAAAACCGCTGATGCTGCACAGTGTTCTGTAAGTCATTTACATAAGGTAAACATTGACAGACGATTGGTCAACTAGTAAAAATTAGTAGATGTGGAAGCCTAAGACATATATATGCGAACATGTGCTACTACCACCATCAAAAACAGAAACGTAAGTGCACAATAGCAATCATTCGACAGCTTGTAGGCGAAGCCGTTACAGTAAAGGGAGCTGCACAAAGCCTGTTGAGTCAAAGTCAGAGAACAGCAAAGGGGAGCCACAACAAACACTTCCTGGCTTTCATTTAAAGTGAGAGTGAAGCAGCAGGAAGGCAGTGTGTGTTTAATGTACACACAGTTTGGCTCACTCTCTGTTTATGTGTGTTTTATTGAGTGTGGACAGTATGAACACGGACCACGTGTCCCTCCTGAGTTCATGCATGACCGGCAGAGGACGTTTCTTTTAAACCACAGCAATGACGTACCAAACGACTGGATCTGGTTTCATTGGTGGTTTGCGGTGTGGAAATGGTCTAGATCTCTGTCAACAGATTTGTAGGACATCGAAGCTTTAAAAGACAACATCAAGTTAAAAAGAACCGTATTTATTGTCTATATAAAAGGTTTTTGCTCTTAATGCACTTAACACACATTAGTGCATGGCAAGAAAAGCAGTGTGATACCAGCACAGCACACAATGCATTACAAATAGGCCTATAGTTTGAAAACTATTGGATAAAACTGGTTTTATTTTACATATACAAATGAGAACAACTGAACTTGGCATGCATGTTACGTGATATTAAACAAGAGGAGAGTAAATCAACACTGCACGACAAACTCACTAGCGCCTTTTCCACCAAAGCATTTTGAGAGCCGGTGCGTGCGCGCGAACCAGTTCTTTGTGTTTCGACAGCCACAGAACCGGTTCACGGCCGGGAAAACTGGTTCCAAAGCGGCACCAACTCTTTGCTGGACTAGAACCGTTCTTTTAGCACCTCATGTTTACGTCGGGGGCTGGGACGGGTTTAGATGTGTTCTAAACATATTTTCTGACGATCGCAAAGCCAGGAGAAACTGCAGAAACACGCAAGCGTTTTTATTTTTTTTATTTGAAACATAAGCAAAGAAGAAAACAGTCACGATATAGAACAAATAAACGGAAAGAAAAAAAGACACAAGACAGGGGTACATAACTTATCCAACCCGATCTCACGGGAATTCATACGAATTCTACGAGGTGGCTTATTCGTAACAATTTGTACGACCTCACTCGTACGATTTAGCTAAATCGTACATATTTTACGAATTAGCCAATTCGTATGAATTCGTACGAATGACCTACCCCTGACCCCGCCCCTAAACATAACCGTCACGTGGGTTTAGACAAATCGTACAAATTTGTACGAGTGAGGTCGTATGAATTAGTACGAATTAGCCACTTTTGAATCAATCGTACGAATTGGTCGTGAGATAGGGTAGAACTTATCAGAAAAGATTACATATCAAACAAAAAGATTAAAAGACTTACATATTTCAATTGTTTTTAAAGTTTTCTTGGTACACGAGTTAGAGGTAATCCCAAAGCAATGTACTTGCAAGCGTTTCTAGCGACGTGCACAGTGACGTAACGACGTCGTTCCCTGGGCGCTCTAGTCTGTGGAAAAACAAACAGGTTCTGAACGGGTTCGCAAGTTGAACCAACTCCGAACCAACTTTGAACCAGTTCCGAACTAGTTCTTTTTTCGGTGGAAAAGGGGTAACTGAAGTCTATGGAATTAGGCCTATACTGCATTCAAAATTCAACTAGTTATGCATGCATGCATAGAATTAAAATTCTTACATATTAAACACATTCACTAGAAGTGATACTCCTCTCTGATGTCAGCTCATTAAATGAGTGTTTTCAATCTTGTGTGCGTCAAAACAGCGAGATTTCATTCAAAACTGTATTACACTGAAACATGCAGAACTGTTTTTTCTATACAGTTCGCATTCTTTTTTTACACAATAAAGTCAGTCACACAATTAAAATAAGTAGTTCAAATAGAGATCTCATATGACACGACAATAATTTTGCCTCCAGGTTTTATAAAATGCACATAAAAAACACTGTAAAAAAACACTTACATTTTTAAGATCAACTTGATTTTAACTTAAATTACATTAAACTGACTTAAAAACAACATGTTGAATCTTATAACTTTAAGTTTAAAATTGCTTAACTTATTTTGATGAGTTAAAGCAATGCAAAAACACATGATCATGTGATTTTTTATTTTTTTTTACAGTGTAGAGACTATAGACAGGTTTCCCCCGTGCTTTTTGATAACAGAAAATGAACAAGTCTCATTTCCCCTATAAAAACTCCCTTCTCGACTCGATCTCATCCAGTCAGTTAGAAGTCATCCTCAGCCAATGTTTAAAAATTAACTACAATCACCAGTAAGAGCCTGTTAGAGAATTAAAGTTCAATCCAGGCCACAACGACTGAGGAAAATCCATCCCATAATCGACGGCCTCACCTGCCTTTTCACTGGATTTGAATATTCCAGAGTTTGTGTGTGTGTGTGTGTGTAAGAAACAAAGAACTGCCAATACAAAACATCTGCGGCAATCTCATACAAATATGTACAGGTCATATTCCACTTCAATACAAGAGGACAAATGAGGTATACTTAAAGGATCTTGTACAACCATTATGATTTTTTTTACCTTATATTATATAACATCATGCATCTGGACATTTTACTTTTGGTAGCATTCCTGTAGCTCAAACTGTAAAGCATGGTGCCATCAACACCAAGGTCATGGTCATGAACCGAAAAATTGTATGAATGCATTCATTGAAAAAAAGAGAACCGAGTCAAATGTGAAGAGAATTAGAACGGTAATGAGAACCGTGAGTCAATTGTGCATAATGCAAAACAAAACTTGTTGATATGTTGACCAGGACCTTTTCTGGACAGTTTTCCCGAGAATCAGCCATTTACATAGCATGACCACTGTTTATGAATCATCAGATTACTGAACTCGTTCTCAGAAACACAACAACAGACCCGCATGACGACTGAACTAATCAGAAATAATTATCGCTCACATGCATCTCTACACCTGTTCAGGGAACTTCCGAACCACAAGGTTCCTTGCGATCTCTAACCACTGTTATCATGCATCTGTAAAAAAACAAACAAAACAAAAAACAGCATGCACATAACTGCACAAAATATATAGAACAAAAGGATCGTCACATCCTTTGATAAGCTCACCATTTTGCTTCCACCAATAATAAACCAAAACATATTCTTCCGTCACTGTTGGAAACCACTGAACATAATGGTGACCTAGTGGTTACCTAAAAGTTGAAGGTTCAAATTCCTCCACAAAGGTTGATCCATTAATTATTGCCATTGTGAACTTGATCATGACATAGGCTGGGAAGTAGAAACATAACAAACATGACCTTAATGACACCTAAGCTTAACAACCTCTCAAACGTATTATATACACAGTGCCCGCATGCATTTGCACTAATATAAATATAAAAATGCTGATGGACACGAAAACTTCATGGACATTATATGTCGACAACCCACATTTAGAAGAATTTAAAAAAGCTAAAGGGATAGTTCACCCAAACATGAAATTTCTGTCATGTTGTTCCAAACCTGTATGTATGAATACAAAAAAGAAATTCTGAAGAATATTGGTAAACAAACAGTTGATATGACTTAATCATCATTTCTTACAACTATTGAAGTCAATGGGGTACACCACCAAAAGTCTGGTAGGTCACCAACAATCTTTAAAATATCATCTTTTGTGTTCAACAGAACAAAACTTGTACAGGTTTGGAACGACATGAGGGTGAGTAACTAAAAGATGACAGAATTTTCATGTTTGGGTGAACTATCCCTTTAAGTATGTCAGAACAACTACAAATAACTGTTGATTTAACGTTAGCTACCTCCAAAGAGATGAGGCGACAGGTGAGCAGGTAAAGATCCGATTAACAGTCTCGGGGTGCCGGTTGACCGCTCTCTCTCTCCGCCGTTCTCCTCCGGTGTGCTGTTACCGGACTCTTGAGAGCTATACGCCCCGGAGTTCGGTATATTAATGCTCGACTGGGGTCGCACGCCCGGGCCACCGGTACCACCCCCCACAGAGCGCGTCCTGGGGCCGATATAGTGAGAAGCAGCTGCCGCTGATGATGATGATGATGATGTCGCACCTGATGTACTGTGCGCGTGATATCTCATCGCAGCCGTTCTGCCGCTGACGTTACTCGACGGGAGATCCGAGCCCGAGTACGCTCGCGTGCGCCCGTTGGCAGCGGGACTGCTCTGCTTGGCGCCCATGCCAACCTACACTTCCCTCCGATTTTAATTATTAAAGACAAACAAACAAACTCGCCTGTTACATTTGACTCGTCCAACGTCACGCGCGCGTCAGCGAAACTTTTACGAAGGCTTTTTAAATCGCTGTCAGCGTGAAGTTGCGGGTGTCCGCGCTTGTTTTTGCCTCTCGCGCTGTTGTTTTCTAACTAACGTCCTCTGTTCCATGTTGTGCGTGACAGTAACCAACGCTTAGACGCGACGCTTTCCTCCTAAACGCCGCGCCGATTGCTGTTGTGCTCGCGGCGGGCGGTTATACACAAACTGAACGTGTTTAACTGCCGTACGTGCAGAGTGCGTAAGCGAGCCGGGGGCGGGGCTTGCCGACTTACGTCATAATCTCGGGAAATAAGCCTATAGCTGGGCGCTCCCTCGATATAGGTTGTTGCCACACACATATGTTATTCCAAACAAGACAAAAGAAGTCCACTTTAAACTATTGTACAATATATAACCTGTAAATTTGACGGTGTAAATCTGTAGCGAGGTTGAAACATGCAAATGAATCATTCTATGCATTAATTATTTTCTTGTGAATTAATTCAGAACGTTTGGTCCAATTTCTTTTCTCCTATTTAGTTAGACCCCTTATTTTTGCCCAAATGTTTTATTTCAAATATATTATTTGCTTCAATACTGACTTTTTCAACAAGTCAACAATGACTATAACAACATTCACAATAGCCTATCATTATTGTGTTTATATGAGAGTGATAAACACACACACACACACACACGCTGTTATTGTTTTAGAATGTGTTTATGATTATCTGCCGAATTCTTCTATCAATGCATGTTCCTCCAGAATTCTGCATGCAGATATTCTTGTGTTGTTTGTCCCATCTGGAGACGTTTACATGACAGAGTGGACCCACGTCTATAAAGAGCAATAGGCAATAACCCTGTGCATTCATGCCAAAACAGCTCACTGGAAACACACTTGAGTGAACGTGAAAACATTCCCACAGTGAATTGTACGCTGAAGTATTGAAAAGTAAACTTCTGCTTTAGAAACAGTCTGACAAAGTAAACAGACTAGGGGAGGTTTTCTCATTAAAGTACAACAAATCTGAGTTTTTGTTTATAGACTGATCACTGACCATGGTCAAGTTCGTCCATCTTTAGGGATGATTGTATCTGAAATGTTTTCCTTGCGTGAGGTCAGTGCGATTATGAGACTCTTTGCAAGGATGAATGGCCATTACCAATTACATTAACATTTTACATTAAAACTGTAAAAGTAACATTCATTTGATGAGGTAGTTGGCTCAGTAGATTCACAAGGGTTTCATAAAGTCATGTCAGAGGCATGTTATTGCATTTCAAGTTATTGCATTTTTGATGAAAGATTACAAAGATAACCTTTCTTTGGAACATCATGTACAAATGAAGCATTCACAACAAAGCTCAGTTGGAAATATACAGCACTGAGTTGGCAACTGTAGTGTGAAAACTGTTGTGTGAGAGCTGCAAAGAGGAGAAATGAGAAGTGAAGAACTCATGCATGAATTTGCACAAACATTCACACTAACAAATGAACACTCAGAGAAAAAAACTCATCAGAATCAGCCAGAATTGACCAGATTAACAGTGATGTCAAGAATGCATTAGAGACGGACGGTCTGTGCGAGGTCAGGGGTCAAGACTGACATTAACTTTAGCTCAAAACATTCTTTCAGAAAGTTATCTGAACTTTAATAATGCTCTCAAAAATTAGCACAAAAACATTTATACATCATGCTTTTTTCTTCCTGAAATGTTATTTAAATGTTACAACTTGTTTCAGAATTAAACATTAAAAGATAGCATTCGCATTATGTTTAACGAATAATGGGTAGCACTTTACTTGAAGGGGTGTGCATAAGACTGACATGACAACTTCATAATCACGACATGACATGGATGTTTTATGCATGTTTATGACAACTGTCATTAAGTGTCATTCGCTCAGTTATGACATTTTTAATACAAATATGACATTGTTTGAGATGTCTTTGTTATGACACCTTGACATTAACCAATTCATCATAACCTGTCACATCAAAAGACATCTTAAACAATGTCATATTTGCATTCAAAGTGTCATTATTTTAATAACAGTTGTCACAAACATGCATAAACCCTACTTCATATTCATATGTCATGTCATGGTTATGAAGATGTCATGCAAGTCTTATGCACACCCCTTTAAGTCACCAAATAATGTTTCTAACGTTCATGTTTTTTTTCCCACTAAGAAAAAAACATTAATAAACATTAAAAACTGTACTTTTTGAGTGTTCTCTGAACATGGGGATGGGGGCTTTATCAGAACATATTTTTGTTTGCTGGGGAGAGATCCCCAGATGTTTTTATAGAAGATTTGGACATATTTTTCATTTGAACCGAGTCATGGACAGAACGGTCACTTCTTACAGCGGCCACAGTATAACATCTTTAATCTGTACAGTATTCATTGGTGTATCTATTTTGTTTCTTGCACAACGAGACTTCCTGAGGAAAAGCACACAACACTCACTGACACTGTCATTGAACATGTGACATAAATAGATGAACTTTCAACTTTGCATTCCTGCAGGAAAATGTGGAGGAATTTCCTGAAATGTTAGCTGTTCAAAACAGAGAAAGAGACATTTTTCACAATAACCAAATGCATTTCCAAAATCTCAGTATAAAACCACTGAAGAGAATGCATTGAACTGTTTCTGTGGTGAGAAACGCTATTCATGATTAAATAAAGGGTAGATTGTACTTGATTTATTATGTTTACGTCTGAAATTAAAGCAATTGATCGACTGTTAAGTTAACAGTCATTTAAGTTGAACAGTTTAAACAAGATTCAGGATAGACGTTTCAGTTGGCATTAAAGTTTTATATTATATTTGTGACAGTAGGCCTACCCAGCTCATCGTTTGTCGTCGGAACAGGAAATAATGATAGGCTAATAAATCAAAACTTGAGTCATTCTCGAACTTTTATTAACTTAAATTACAGAAACCCCATATGAATGCATGATATTAATTATTAAACATAACTCGCGTTATATTTCAAAATAAAAACCAAAGAACACGACTTCAAGGAATCAGATTAAATATGAGATAATATTGCCGCCTAGTGACTAATAGTAGAACTGCAAAAACAAACCTGTTTCAAGGGTTCATCCAAAAATAGAAATTCTGTAAATATGTGCTCACCTTAATTACAAACATGTATCAGTACAATAAATACAAAAAATAAATACAAATAATGACAGGGAAGGTAACAGACTTTGCGATTGTTGCTACACACATTGTTATGTAGTTAATTATTGCTAGTTGCTTTACAATGTTTGGCAGATTTTAATATTTCTATTATTATATAATTGAGAGTAAATATAGGAGGGGAACAAAGATAAATAAACCTTATTTCATGTAAAGAGAGCTATAAAGAGCAGCAAGTGAAAGTGAACATGAAAAAATACCATTTCCTTTCACCCTTATATTTGAAAATTTAATTTTACAATATTTCATCCATCAGTTACCAGTGGTGACTGAATACAGATTATAAATAATGTTCTCTGAATTTCGATGTGTAAGGACAGAAATTTACGATTGCCTAATTTAAGTATGAAAAGACAAATTATAAAAGTATGAAAAGTGTTGAGATGTGATTGTAGTTTCTATTCATATTTTGAATTATTATTATTATTATTTTAATTTTCTATTTAATTTTAGTAGCCTATATTTTTTCATAATTTTGGAAAGTGGCTGAAATAAGCCAATCAGAAGTAGGGGGCGTGTCCACTCGTGATGGGGGAGGAGAGAAAGTGAGCCGATCAGCAATAGAGGGCGTGTCCACAAGATGGGGGAGGAGAGTGAGTGAGCCAATCAGCTGTAGGGGTGCGTCCACATGGGGGAGAAGTGAGTAACAACAAACTCTTGCTTGTATATTCACTCGTGTACTGTAAGATTATGTTTTATTCTTCTTTGTCGTTTGTTTGTCATCTTTGCTTAATTTTTCACAAATAATATAAAAATGTCATGATAAAGAGACATTTGGGGGCAGAATAGTGAAGGGAGGGGTGTGGGTGTGTTTATATGGATTTGGTTTCAAATATCATCAGCAGTGTTCAACACTGATTCCCAGAAATCACTTATACTGTGCTTTAAGAGCATTTTGATGTGCACACAATAATTCTCTCACGTCCCTTCTGAGCATTTCAGGTATTCTTTGAGTCGTACAAATACAGTTATGTTCTAGACAGGTTCCCCCGAGCGGTTTGCATCACCGCAGGCCCTCAGCTGTGCTTCAACACAGACAGATTGAACAGCCCATCAAATGATGAGATCTGCCTGTAGGATACGAGCAACAGCGGGCGGATCAGATAAAAGCAGCCGCTGTGAGTGATGCTGGACATCCCCAGGACACCAGCGGCTGTAATCGAGAGAAACAGGGATGCCGGGAAGAGACGGTTCCGTCGGAGAAGATGGAGATACGGCACCCCGGTGGAGACAAACTCAGCTAATCAATCAACTCACCATGGGACACGGCAACAGACAGCTGCTGCTCACAACAACCAATCGCCACTGTAATACGTGTGTGTCTGTTAAAACTCTCATGGATCTCTGTTTTCCCCTTACATCAAATATTAATGTAGTGTGATTGATCTATCTATCTATCTGTCTGTAACGCTTCCTTTTACAGTCCAGTTACCCATGTAAATATGTACTTAGTTTAGTAACTACAATTACTGGGTAAAAACTAGTACTAACCCTGAACCTACCCCTAACCCCTGTTCCATGTACTTACCTTATAGTATTAGCCAGTACTTTCTAAGTCTGTCTGTCTATCTATCTATCTATCTATCTATCTATAACCCCTGTTCCATGTACTTACCTTATAGTATTAGCCAGTACTTTCTAAGTCTATCTATCTATCTATCTATCTATCTATCTATCTATCTATCTATCTATCTATCTATCTATCTATCTATCTATCTATCTGTCTGTCTGTCTGTCTGTACACCCTTCATCAATCCTGTTTATAACTTAAAGCTTTCAGGCGAGACTTTGTAAAGCCAATAATGGCGTATAATAATGATTTGTGTTTAGACTTTGATTGTGGCTGTTTTTTAAGGAGTTTTATTTCAGAATGTCCAGGTTTATCTGATTTAAGTGCGAACTGTTCCTTTAAGGCTGGGACACTAAGACCTTAGTCATTAAGACCATAGTCACCTAATTGATGAAGTGTTTTCTGAGCTTCTTCTGACCCA